CAAATTATTTTCTGGACATGAGAATGACAAAGCACTTATTTATGTTCATATAATGTTCATATAATCACTATAATCACAAAACCAAATATCTCTGTGTGTGTGTGTGTGTGTGTGTTTGTGTGTGTGTGCGCGCGCGCAGTGGCGGTGACTTTGGAGCCATTAGTTGGAGCAGAAACGTACGTCAATGGAAAACGAATCACTGATGGTGTTGTACTCAAACAAGGTGACTTTTTCAGTTCAATTTTCAATTTCCACGGTTGAGAATGGAAAAATAGTGTATTGTTTACTACAGTACAGACCATGCAGTACATAAATGCTGTTACACAGGACTAAATGTGCAACAGTAAACATTTCAAATACATTTATTTGGAAATAACTGCAGCTATTTTGCATTTTTAAATCTAAAGTCATCTTTATACAGAAAACGTTCACACTCTGCACAGTTCTGTGTGCTGCAGAAATCGTAGTCTGGTAGCATGTCATTCTGAACATATCCTCATTATTATTTTATCTTCCTACACAAACATACTAGTGCTTGTAAGCTCTTTCGTTCTCCTTTGCCCTGTGCTTGTGTAGGTAACCGTATAGTGATGGGGAAGAGCCATGTGTTCAGGTTTAACCACCCTGAGCAGGCCCGCTTAGAGAGAGAGCGCAGTGCCACACAGGAGCAGCAGGGGGAGCCGGTGGACTGGAGCTACGCACAGGAAGAACTGCTGGAGAAACAAGGCATTGACATAAAGCAGGAGATGGAGAAGAGGTGAAAACACTTTTTAGCGAGTCTTCCTATGCGTATGGGTCTGTGTTCAGGTTATAGTCTCGGAAAATGTAAAAATGAAATGACCAGAAAACCAGATGGTCTGATCAGCCTTTTAGACCTGCTAGAAATCATGTGAAACCTGTTGTTGTTTTTTCCTCAGCAGGCTTCCCTTGCTAATATCTTCTTTCTCTTTGAACCCTCTCTCTCAGACTGCAGGATCTGGAGAATCAGTACCGCAAAGAGAAGGAGGAGGCCGACCAGATACTGGAACAGCAGAGACTGGTAAGAAAAGACACTGATTTCTACAAAACGCTGCTGTTTGAAATCACTGAAACAAACACGCCCCTACCTAAAAAGGCTGGGTAAAAAATATCTATTTCTCGATTTTAATCGATTCTCATTTTTAGGAAATGATATCGATTCTTAAATCCCAAGAATCGATTAGTCTCACCTGTCAAGATAATGAACGGAACATTGTAGCGCCTCCCATCCAATAAAGTGCAATAAGCTTTGCGATTTGTTACTTTTGAAATGAAACAAAGTCTCAGATTTCGAATTCTGTCCATTTTATTACAATATTTAAATATTAGATTCCGTTTTGGCGCTGTTTGATGTGGAGTGACAGATCGCTGTGAACTGATCATCTCCTCCACTTTAACAGCAGTTACAGCATGAAATAAACACGAATGAACATCCG